TGCCCTGTGTCCCCCAGTATCAGCCCCCTCCATCACGACCCCGACTCTCCCGGAGGCTGCGGCCTCTCGGCTCTCATTCCTGGAGTAGACTTTACCGATTCAGATTTGAGAGTCGCACCCGGTCCCTCCTCCCTTTACGACTTCCTAGGTTCCAGTCCCAAGCCCTGCGTCCCTCCCAGTCCACGTTTTATAGACCATCCCGCCTGCAGTCCTACTGGCGCCCATCTCGGGTCCGGCAGCCCCTTTCTTCTTAGCAGGGGTAGCAAAAAGTAGACTGGCTATAAGACCATGTTACTTACTCATCGCGGCCTCATCCTCCTGGAAGTCTCTGTGAACTTACCTGTGTCTTATTGTCTGAGTCTGCACTTTGTTCTTCTATTCTTGGTGGGAGGAGCTTAATAAAAATAATCTCTGGTAACCAGACGGTGATGTGTGTTGTTGGGATGTTTGATCCATTTTTCTCTCAGGCCCACAAGCAGCCCAGAGGCTGTGGCAGAGGACAGATTAGACTCATCAAATGCCCAGTCCCTAAGCACAGGGTGTCCAGCCCTGGATGCCACCTTGGTCCAGCACCTGTACCACTGCAGCCGCCTCCTGCTGGTGAGGGGATAACACACACCCCTTCAGCCCTTGCCCCAGGGAGTCCTGCATTCCAGTCCTGGTCCTCTAAACCTCTCAGTTCACACACCAGTGCCCCAGGGTCCTGGGCATTTGGCTCCTATGCATGTAATACCTCCGATGCTCTTCCTGTTTCAGCCCCTCCCAATGCATGCTGGGACCTGTACTCCCCTGACTCCATCCTCCCCAACCCTTACCATGAGGTCTAAATTACTTGGCAACTCCTGTCCTCTAGAAACTGGGCACATTTGGGCCCCTGCGCTGCCAGGAGGCATGGGCCCTAGAGCGGCTGCTGAGGGAGGCGCGCGTGCTTGAGGAAGTGTGTGAGCACAGCAAGCTATGGGGGACTGCTGCCACCTCTGCCCAGGAAGGTAAAGGTCCCCCTTGGGCTTGGGCTGATGCCCACCTGGAGTTCATGCCTGACCTTTTCCCATTTACACACCTTCCCCTCCTGCCTAACCTGCTCTGTTGCTGATGGCTTTTCTCACCCTCCCCTCACAGTGGTGCAGTTCTCAGCCTCTCGGTCCGGCTTCCTGACCTTTTGGGACCAATGTACAGAGGGACTCAGCCCCTTCATCTGCCCCGTGGAGCAGGTGCTCCTCATTTTCTGCAGCCAGTACGGTGCCCGTCTTTCCCTGCGCCAGCCAGGCTTAGCCGAGGCTGGTGAGTGGGCTGCCTACCTGCCCCTTCCTTCCTTTCCTAGCTTCCTTGTTAGCCCCTACTGACGGACAAATTGAGCATTGAAGAGAACTAGTGATTGCTCGTTCTCAGAATAGAGGTGGACAAGGAGTCCCTGGGCCTGAGCTAGAACGGGGACATTCTCTTCCCACTTAGAGACCTGGGTCTATCCCAGCTCAGGCTGTGGTACTGTCTCCTGCAGTGTGTGTGAAGTTCCTGGAAGACGCCCTGGGGCGGAAGCTGCCTAGGAGGCCCCAACCAGGCCCCGGGGAACAGTTCACCATTTTCCAATTCTGGAGTTATGTAGAAGCCTTGGACAGCCCCTCCATGGATGCCTATGTGACAGAGACTGCAGAGGAAGGTGAGACAGTGACCCTGGCCACAGAATGCTGACCCCAGGGGTGGTCCTGAGGGTGTAAAAGATGGGATCATGAGGACAAAGTCACCCCAAGAGTTTTTACCAATTTGTGCCACCCACTTCTTTTAGTGCTACTGGTACAGAATCTGAACTCTGATGACCAGGCTGTTGTGCTGAAAGCCCTGAGGTTAGCACCTGAGGGGCGCCTGCGAAGGGATGGGCTTCGGGCTCTTAGCTCCCTGCTGGTCCACGGCAATAACAAAGTCATGGCTGCGGTTAGCACCCAACTTCGGAGCCTCTCACTTGGTCCTGTCTTCCGGGAAAGGGTGAGTTTGGCAGGATTCTTTTGTGAGTAAGGTGAGGGCTGAGGGCGTCCACTAGCTAAATCTGCCCTCCCACCCTTGCCCAGGCTCTTTTGTGCTTCCTGGACCAACTTGAGGATGAGGATGTACAAACTCGAGTGGCTGGATGCCTGGCTTTGGGCTGTATCAAGGTGATCGCCACCAACCAACCTACCTACCTACCTACCTACCTACTACCACTTTCGCTCCAGGGCTATTCCTGCTTGTTATACTGAACCTGCCTCAATGTTTTGTTTCCCATAGGCTCCTGAGGGTATTGAGCCCCTGGTGTACTTGTGCCAGACAGACACGGAAGCTGTGAGAGAAGCTGCCCGGCAGAGCCTACAGCAGTGTGGTGAGGCTGGGAAATGGGAGACATGACCTCTGAGAACACCTTGGCTGTTGGGAGTAGGGTGAGGTAATGCCAGGCGTGGGAAGTCCTGGAGGATGTCAGGGCCACTCTTGATCTTATGCTCACACGTTATAGGGGAAGAAGGACAGTCTGCTCATCGGCGGCTAGAAGAGTCCCTGGATGCTCTGCCTCGCATCTTTGGGCCCAGCAGCATGGCCAGCACAGCATTCTGAACTCTAATCACCGGCTCCCAGTGTTCCTTCCCCCATTTTCAGGGCTTACCAGGCACTGGCAGGGAGGGTGAGGGCTGGTTCCAGACACCTCTCCCCACAAATCCCTATGAATGAAAATCTAATATATTCTTTTGTTCCCCTGGGGTTGGTAGAGTGCCTGAATGAAGTGCCTCCCAGCCTTGGTTCTGCATAGCCTTTGCCACAGAGTGTCAGGGGCTTGGCCATATCTTGCTCTGCCTCACTACATCCCTTGGTTTTGTATTTTATTTACAGAGTTTTACAGAAAATAAAAAAGCAAAATGCGTTTCCTACATGGCTTGCTGCACTTCTGAACCTCTGCTCCAACACCTTCTGGTGTGTTCTTCCTGGCACTCCTGTGCCCACACTCCAGCTGTGACAACATCGCGTGCATTTGCCCTGGAAATCCTGGTGGAAGAAAGCCCACAGTCCAGGGTTGTGCTTGGAGAAGAGACACAGAAGGGAAGGGAGCTCTGCTCTGCTCAACAGGCTGAACCTGCATCTGGGCCTGGGAACTACAGGCCCTGAGTGGATCCAAGCAGCTGGCCTAGAGAAGGCCCAAACTGCATATTCTAGACTAACTGTGGCTAGTGGGCAAAGTGAAAGAAAAGCTAGCATGGCGTGCCTGAGCTGTTGCCACCAGGGGGCAGCAGAACTGCATCAGGGGGTGGTAGCTTCTGCATGGGCCCCTCTGGCGAGGCAGCCTCCTATGGTGGAGCTTCAGGAGCAACTTTAGGCTGTGGGGGGAAGCGGGAATCCTTGCTTAGGGGAGGAGTTGGAGCCTGGGAGACAGGAGACCCGGATGGCTGCCCCTGAGGCACCTCTTTCCCGGCAATAACAAACTGTGAACTCTGTGGCCCCCAACAGTCAGCAGACCTGTGATGAGGAAGTAGGACTCCCAAGGGAGGGCCTCCCTGCCTCCAGCACATAAGTTTGTTGTTAACCTAGGTTAGGAGACCTTTGAGACCCGCTCTGAGGGTGGGACGGGATTTCAGGAAGGCAGGCCTTTGCTAAGAAGGTCCCGATGTGTTTCCACTCCCATGGCTAGAGAAATGGACCCTCCATCCTTCTACCAGGATTTCTGTTATCTAGAGAAACTGGACATCCATAAGGTCTCCCCAGCTTGAGCACCCTGGTGTCCCAGTACCTGTGGTGATATGGCCCAGTAGTCTGACACTGCACAAAGCTGTCATGGGGAGAGGGGGGAGTGCTCAGGAAGAGCCAACAGTTTCCTAGGTGGGGGTGGGGTGACCCAGATCCCTGGGGAGCCTTACCCCAGTGTTTTAGAACTGCCTATGAAGAGGTTTTTGGCTGGGCCTTCAGCACCTGCTGTGGAGGTCATGCTGAGCAAAAGAAACGGCAACAGGAAACACCTGTGAGTGGATACTGGCAGTTTGCGATAGTCTGGTGGGGGTGGGGTAAGGCGCACACAGACAGCCCTTATACACTGGCATGGCTGGGCAGGATAGGGTAGTTCAGCTTTTTGGTTGGTCAGCTGGGGTAAAATGGAGTAGATAAAACAATCAGGTGACAGACCACACCACCGCCTATAACCGGTCACAGTTTGGAGGCAGTCCCAGAACCACCAGTAGACTCCCTGTGGGTAGGATTGTTGGGGAGAGAGTGGAGTTGAACCTTGACTAAGCAGGGAGTAGGAAAGTGAAGGCAGTGACTGGGCCAGGACACCTCAGAGCACAAACCACGGACAGTGCCCAACAAGAAATACAGGGTGGGAAGATGTCATTCCAGTCCGTCACTGACTATCCATCCCTGTTCTCCAAAACAGAAGGAACAAGATCCCTTTGTCTTCTACAAGGAGGGTACTAGGGCCAGAGCCTAGGCGTCTGTCCTAGCTGAGGAAGAGTGAGGGCAGAGTGGAGAGGAGCTAGAAACAGCACAGCCTGGTGAAGGACTATCAAGGTCAGGAAAGGACCCTCAGGCCTTGGCCCTTCAAGACTTCTGGGCTTGAAGCAGTGTGGATCAACCACACGACAACCACTTTCCCTCTCCTCTCAATTCACAGCCTGACTCAAGTCAGGCTGGCTTGGTCTCCTAGCCTGACAGTAGGTCTCCTTCTGTCAACAGTGGGAGGCACACATGGGGCACCGCTTTTACTTCCTACCCTGCTGTCCTGCAGGCTGGGGAGACATTTGTTCTTCCAGTTCAGATTCAGGACAGTTGGGAGCCTGCTGTCCCAGGTGGTGGGAGGTTGGTGATGTTATCAAGAGTCACAGGTGTCGGCAAGGAAAGTGTGCACCTAGAGGGGGCAAATGGAAATGGGCTGCCAAGGCCTGTAACATGCTGATGGGCTCATCATTTAAGACCACCTAGGTCACACTCATGTCTTATTCATCGTCTTCAGAGCACTGCAGAGGAAACTGCAAAAAAGGGCCAGGCTGAGGTGGCTCAGGATACAATTTATTGTGTTGGTGGCTGCAGAAGTTTCCTTCCATTCCTCTCCTCTTGCCCTCTTCCAACCTTATCTTTTCTTCTTGTTTCTCACTCTTCTTTTCTCATGCTTTCAAAGCTGCAGTGAACCAAAAAGAAGAAAAAGCATGTTTATGAAGGCAAAGAAGCAGATGGGCTGGCACATGGGAAGAGGACTGCTTCCTGGTCTCCCCCACAGAGCGGGGGTGCCTTCCTTGTATGTTTCTGAGCCTGGTATGTGGGTACAATTTTCTGGATGCCAGCACATGAGATGCTTTCCCTCCATCCCCTCAGAAAGAAGTTTACTCTTCAAGCTGCCCATCCCCAAAGATAGAATGCTCTTATGGGTAGTTGGAGAGATAACTCAGCAGTAAAGAACACTTAAATGTTCGTTCTTTGTTTCTTTCTTTCTTTCTTTTTTTTGATTTTTGAGACAGGGTTTCTCTGTGGTTTTGGAGCCTGTCCTGGAACTAGCTCTTGTAGACCAGGCTGCTCTCGAACTCACAGAGATCCACCTGCCTCTGCCTCCCGAGTGCTGGGATTAAAGGCGTGCGCCACCACCGCCCGGCTCACTTAAATGTTCTTGCAGAGAACCTGAGCTCAGTTCCCAGCATCCACAAAGTGGTTTGCAACATTCTAGAGGCACATACATGCAAGTAAAACCTCATGTAAAATAATTTTTTTTTTTTTTAAAGCTGGGTGGCTCATGCTTTTAATCCCAGCACTCAGGAGGCAGTGGCAGGTGGATTTCTGTGAATCCAAGGCCAGAGTCTGGTCTACAGAGTGAGTTCCAGGACAGCCAGGGATACACAGAGAAACCCTATCTCAAAAAGCCAAAAAAGAAAAGAAAAAAAAAAGGCTCTTGGCTTGTTGGCTTGGATGCTAGGCTAGGCTTTTCTGGACCTGAATAATATGAGAAGGCGAGGTTGAAAGACTCCTAGAAGTTAAAGAAGCACAACATGTCATTTAGAAAATAAGGCTGTCAATGGCCTGCAGTGACAGCCATTAGTCTAAAGTTGACGCTAAAATTCAAAGACCAGTTGCCTCTTAACTCATGATACATCCCAGGAACATAGATGTCCAGTAAATGCTGACTTAGAACAGCTGATTAGCAGATGCTTTGCTGTAGCTACCAACTATCTGTTCCCAGCTAACTCCTCTGACCTCTTCCTCCTGTGCAGGCACCCCTTAAATAGGACTCCACTGAGTTCTACTCTCTTTAAACACATGGCTTCCATCCACGTTCGGAGGCTACTGTCAGTCATTCTGTTTTTATTTTATTTCTAGACACTCGTGAATCCAGTTCCAGACTGGATACTTCCTTTTGAACACTCAAAGCATTTTAAAATCAACAACCCAAAGCCTACTCTTTGTCCCTCTTGGACTTATTCTCCACAATACAGAATGATTTCTAAAACTCAAATCTACCTCTACAGGAATTGTTTACGGAAAACCCCAGCCCACTCAACCTTGTTCCGGCAGCCCTTTGAGTCATTCCAGTCTGGATTATCATTTCTACTGGAACTGCTCCCCGTGCCCTGCAGCTTTACTGAGCTTTCTGCAGGGCTTGCCTAGACCTGGTACCACTCCTCCTGTGGTCCATGATTTTCACTTCTCCATAGCCTTGCTCAACCCAACCCCCTAAAAACCTTCAACTTGGACATTACATGTTTCTTTAAGAGTTGTCACCACACCGGGGTACACTTGCAAATGCTTGGAGTAAGATTGTTGTGGGGCTGGAGAGGTGGCCCAGTGGTTGAGGTCCTCTTCCAGAGGATCTGGGTTCAATTCTCAGCGCCCACATGGCCGCTCACAACTGTCTGTAAACTCAGTTCCAGGGGACCTGACACCCTCACAAGGACATACATGCAGGTAAAACACCAATGTTCATAAAATAAAAGTTTTAAAAATAAAGTGAAATAAAAGGATTGCTGTGATTTCAAAGCCAGCCTGGGTAACACGGTGACTTCGAGGCCTAGCTGGTCTGTATTAGTTGCAACTGCTTCGGTGTAAGATGCATCATTATTCTGATGATTCTACTAAGTGGCTGGCAGCACAAGCCCGAGGATGACCCCCAGGGGCCTGACAGGTCCTTTCCAGTGGAACTTTGTGAGTTCTAGTCTTGTTTTTCGAGATGGTCTCTGGGTAGCCCTGGCTGTCCTGGATCTCGCCCTGCAGACCAGGCTGGCCTTGAACTCAAGAGATCTGCCTGCCTCTACCTCTCAAATGCTGGAATTAAAGGTGTGCGCCACCACTGCCAGGCATCCCCCTACTTTAAACAATGCTTTATCGGTAGTCTTCATACTCTGTGGTTCAACCACTTAAAGTGCACAATTTGCTGGACATGGTGTACAGGCCTGTAATTCTAGTACTTGGGAGGCTAAGGCAGGAGGATCAGGAGTTTAAGGTCATTCTTGGACAACATAGTAAATGTGAGGCCAACCAAGACTACTTGAAATTATGTCCCAAAACAAAACAACAAAAAAAATAGCACTACAATAAAGCATCTAACACAATAGCTTTGGATATATTCAGAGTTTTACACCAAGGACTATAATTTTAGAATATTTTTACCTATCCATAAAAGAATGTAACTTCCTTTTAGCTATTATTCCCAGGGTCCCTGCATTCTCTCATCTCATCTCCTCCCCCAGGCCTAGGCAATTAGAAATCTATTTTTTGCTTCTATGAATTTGTTTTTGCTGTATATTTTTCATAAAGAGAATCAGATTATGTCTTTCCGACTTACTCAGTTTGGAGCCATCTAAGAACTTCCCCGAAGGTTAATTCAGTGAGTCTGCCATGGATCCTAACAATTACTATTTGATCATCCTGCATTTCCTTGTTTTTGTTTGTTTGTTTTAGACAAGTTTTCATTATATAGCCCTAGTTGGTCTTCAACCTGTAATCTTCCTGCTTCCACTTCCTGAATGCTGGGACTATAGGTATACACTACCATGTCCAGCTCTATACGTCTTTACCTCTATTACCTAAAGCCAGATCCGTATGAAGTGGACAAGAAATGTCTTTCAGGGCTCTCAAGAAGACTTGGTGAATAACAGCATGTGCTGTATAAGCCTGGTTCTGAGTTGGATCCCTGTAATCCACATGGTAGGGGGAAAGGAACCTGCTCCTGCAAAATTATCCTCTGACCTCCACACTCTCCGGCACAGACACAGGCACACACATAAATATATATCACATAATATATATACACACACACCATATAAAACACATCCAGTTTTTAGAGACAGAGCCTGTCCTGGAACACACACACACATACACAAAAGAAATGTCTTATAATAGCTCATCCCTGTTATCCTAGCATTGAGAGCACGAGGTAGAAGGATTTCTTTGAGTTCCAGGCCACGCTGGGCTATAATGTGGGATCCTATCTCTAAACACAATAAACAGAAATGCCTTTGGATGTATATCTCTGCGATCTGTTACCTCTGGGCTTCCTACTTCCTAGATCCAATTACATCTTCCTAGGTCCCAACTTACATCTTTCTCTATCTCAATGCAACCTCTAAACATTTTAGGACGAAAGTACCATATGTTTAGTGTAGAAGAAGCCTTAAAATTCAGCGCATCCCTTAGGAGCATATCCTGTTCATCCCTCCAGCATTACCTGTCTAGAGCATAAGGCTGCGTTCAGTTACTCAGGACGTTACTTACAAACTAAATCACAGCTCCAAATGCCTCTGCTATCTGTCTGCCAAAGTTGTGTGAAATTTCCATCATTAAGCCCTTTTGATATAGCTCAGAGGTTAAAGGTGCTTTCTGCTGTGATGAGTTTGATTACAGCTCTTCCTATGAGTTGAAGCCGTAATATCCAGTTTGTCTTGGGGACAGAAATCCTTTTGTCCCTCCTAAACAAATCATATGGAATTAAGGAAATGGGAGTTCAGTGTTCAGTGAAACGGCACATGCTTAACACGCACAAAGTCCTGTGCTTAATTCCTGGCCGAGACATCTCCTCCTCCTTCCTAGGTAGCCTTAGAGCTATAGCATCTTCTCCAGAGGACTGCCATAGTGCAGAAATGTTGAGCTAGTGGTGTGGTACACACCTGTAATTCTAGTATTCGGAAGGGAAGGGACTAATTTGAGCTGGGCGGTGGTGTATGCCTTTAATCAGCACTCGGGAGGCAGAGGCAGGTGGATTTTTATGAGTTCGAGGCCAGCCTGCTCTACAAGAGCTAGTTCCAGGACAGGCTCCAAAGCTACAGAGAAACCCTGTCTCAAAAAAAAAAAAATGTTTTTTGAGCCTAGAATTTCTTTTTTTTTTTTAACTTTTATTTATTTATTTAACTTTATTATGTTCGCTGGTGTGAAGGTGTCAGATCTCATGGAACTGCATTTTCAGACAGTTGTGAGCTGCCATGTGGGTGCTGGGAATCGAACCCGGGTCCTCTGGAAGAACAGTCAGTACTCTTAACCGCTGAGCCATCTCTCCAGCCCGAGCCTAGAATTTCAAAATCAGGTGGCTTAATATAGTAAGACAAAGAAGGAAAGGAGGGGAAATGGAAAGGGCAGGGCAGGGGAGGGGAGGAAAGGAAGGAGAGAGATGTTATTTGAAATTGGGCCTGGGGGCAGAGGTCTATAATCTCAGCTACTCTAGCGCCTGAAAAGTTTAAGACCAGCCTGGATTACAGAATTAATTTAAGGCCAGCAACTTAGTAAAATATCAGGCTTTAAAATAAAATGCAAAAAAGAGCTGGGGATATAGGTCAGTGATAAACCATCTGCCTAGTGTGCCCAAGGCCATAGGTTCATAGGTTCCCAAATACAGAAAAAGAAGATGATTGATAAAAGTTGGGTGGCACCAGCACATGCCTTTAATCCCAGGAACTTGGGAGGCAGAGGCTGGCAGATCTCTGGGAGTTCGCAGTCAGCCTGGTCTGTAGAGGGCAGCCAGGACTGTTTGTTACACAGAGAAACCCTGCCTCAAAAGAAAGAAAGAACCAGGCAATAGTGGTGCATGACTTTAATCCTAGCACTTTGGAAGCAGAGGCAGCCGAATCTCTGTGATTTTGAGGGCAGCCTGATCTATGGAGTGAGTTCCAGGACTGGTTCCATAGCTACTGAGAAACTCTGTCT